CGGCTAATTTTTGTGTTTTTAGTAGAACTGGGGTTTCACCATGTTGGCCAGGCTGGTCTCAGCTCCTGACCTCAAGTGATCTGCCCACCTCGGCCTCCCAAAGTGCTGGGATTACAGGCATGAGCCACTGTGCCTGGCCTCAAAGGAAATATCTTTAAGAAGGGTCTACTTAGAGATATGCTGGTGGTTAATGGAATAAATACAGGATAGCAGGATACCCAGAGACCAACAGCAGAACGCTACTACCTTCTCTAGGACTGGAGGAATAAAGGGAAGAAATGCTGTGACTGGAGTGGAGGGGTGCTGGAGTGGTAGTTTTGGAGATGGAACAAGATTTAAGCGGGGAGGAGCACAGAATAAAGACCTCCTTTTACTCCCATTCTCTAATATCTAGTGTTGCCTAATATCTCTCATGGGGCAGTCTTACCAGAAACCAGTTGGTAGTGCAGTCCATAGAAACAGCCTATCAAGAATGGGCTGAGAAAAGGGCAAGTGGATACTAGCACAGCGTCAAATCTGTGATTTTGTAAGTGTGTGTGTGTGTGTGTGTGTGTGTGTGTGTGTGTGTGTGTGTAGGAAAAAGCTAAATTTTAAGAAAAGTGAGTAGATTTAAAGAAAAACTTTAAATCCATGTGAGTGGATTCAGAGGAAAACAGTACAGGTGAAAATCATGGCTAAAGTTTGGGAAACACTGGGAAAACAGTTTTATGAACTGTGTATTTATTTAGCACAGTCTAAAATGGTCTGTAAGATTTGTTTAACTGATTCACTTTAGAATATTTTCATTATAATCTTAAATATTATCCGACTAGTGCTCCACATGTATATTTTTTCTAGATAACTGAAGATTAAGCCTTTCAAGAATGTACAATTTTATTCATCTGTTTTGGAGGGGCTTCTCTAAAATGTATCTTAATTTCCTGAAATGTATCTGATTTCCAATATTAGAATCACTTCAGAGGGCTTGATAAAACAGGTGCGACCTACCTCTGGAGTTTATCCTTTAGTAGGACTGGAGAAGGACCTGGGATGATGCTGATAATACTGCTAAAAAGGGATCACACTTTGAGGACTACTCAATTATATTAAGCTTAATTTAACTTTTTCTTAATGACTTAGGGTCGTTTAACCTTCAAGGGTATATTTGGGTATTGAAATGCAAGGATGTTGGTTCTTTCATTCTGGTTCCAGGTCAGTTTTATTATTTTCCTTCCTTTCCTCCTTCCTTTCTTTTTGTCTTTGTTTTTAGAGACAGGGTCTCTGTCACCCAGGCTGGAGTGCAGTGGTACAATCATAGCTTACTGCAACCTTGAATTCCTAGGCTCAAGTGATTCTCCTGTCTCAGCCTGCCAAGTAGCTAAGACTGCAGGCCTGTGCCACACTTCCAGCTAATATAATCTGCATTCCTTTTTACTCTTCATGCTGTCATTCTCTGTGCCACTAGTAATGTCTCTGTCTCGCTGTTCCCGTATTAAGCTCTTCGGGGCTGAGACTAGATAAGTTGGTTAAATTTTAGTATAGAAAATATGTCTATAAGCAAAGTTCATGTATTTCAGTGAATGAGCTTTATTATATCCACTTTGAACAGTTTTTGTCTTCTAATTATTTTTGAAGATACCTGATGCTGCCACATAAGGGATCTATGAGTGAGTGTGACGCCAATTTAAAGTTGTTCTATACTTGCCTTAGATGAATAGGGATCACAGGAATGTCTGATACTTTTAGTAGCTAAACACCGTACTGGAAGTCAACAAAAATTTTTAAAATCTGCGTTAAATTCTATAATTGCTATAGCTGGATGTGGTAGTTGGCCTGTAGTCCTAGCTACTTGGAAGGCTCAGACTAGATTACTTGAGCCCAGGAGTTTGAGGCTGCAGTGGGCCATGATCACGTGCCGTTGCACTCTTATCTGGTGTGACACAGGTCTCTGGAAAAAAAAAAATTCTTACTGTAGTGCATTAGCTAGCCTGTCACCTATATCAGGTATGTCTTTGTTTTTAAGTCTTTTTTTGTTTTTTCTGAGCTGGAGTCTCGCTCTGTTGCCCAGGCTGGAGTACAATGGCCGGATCCTGGCTCACTGCAACCTCTACCTCCCAGGTTCAAGCAATTCTCCTGCCTCAGCCTCTCTAGTAACTAGGATTACAGGTACCCGACACCACGCCCAGCTAACTTTTTGTATTTTTAGTAGAGATGGGGTTTCACCATGTTGGTCAGGCTGGTCTCGAACTCCTGACTGCAAGTGATCCCCATGCCTCAGCCTCTCAAAGTGTGAGATTATAGGCATGAGCCACCACGCCCAGCCTTAAGTCTGTCTTTAACTGTATTATAGTTTTTTGTTTTTTTTTTTTTTTTTGAGATGGAGTCTCGCTCTGTCGCCCGGGCTGGAGTGCAGTGGCCGGATCTCAGCTCACTGCAAGCTCCGCCTCCCGGGTTTACGCCATTCTCCTGCCTCAGCCTCCCGAATAGCTGGGACTACAGGCGCCCGCCACCTCGCCCGGCTAGTTTTTTTGTATTTTTTTTTTTAGTAGAGACGGGGTTTCACCGTGTTAGCCAGGATGGTCTCGATCTCCTGACCTCGTGATCCGCCCGCCTCGGCCTCCCAGAGTGCTGGGATTACAGGCTTGAGCCACCGCGCCCGGCCTGTATTATAGTTTGTAAACACTTTCAAGTCTTGAAGTAGGGAAATGGGATAAGTAACTAGTATTAGGTGTGTTTTTACAAATATTAAATATTGAATATAGGTAGTCTTTCTTTCCATAGTAACTAGTAATAGGTAGTCTAGTAACTAGTAACAGGTAGTAGGTAGTAATAGGTAATAGGTAGTAGGTAATAGGTAGTCTAGTAACTAGTAATAGGTAGTAACTAGTAATAGGTAGTCTTTCTTTCCATAGTCTTTCTTTCCATAGTAACTAATACTGTAATATTAGCAAAGAAAAAGGGAACAGTGAATTTATGTTGTTCAGTAGTTAGTGTTCTAGAACTTGGCTTCATGTGTTTGATAGAGAGCTTACTTGTAGATCTGTTGAAAATTTGCACAATACATAAAAAAATAATTACATGCTTCTCAGTTGTTACCTATACCTTTTCAAATAGTAAGGACCTTACTATTCAAGTGCCTGTATCAGAAGTGTCTTCCATTTTTTTTGTTAGCAGGATATTTTAAGGCCTCTGTCTTGAGTTTCCCTTCTAGGTAGATTTATATATTCTGCCTTGACTTTATTGTTTTCTGTACCTACTGAGTCGTTTTTTTCCTTTCTTTGACTTTTTCTCTGACGCCCTACTAAATCTGCTTTGTGAAATAAATTGTTGCCTAAAATTGGTTACCTTACCCCAGTTTGTCTATTGTCAGCTTTTTTCCTTGTTAGTAAAAAAGTTTTCAGTATGTTTCTATTATACCTTGTAAATTGATACATGCCTTCACATTATTTCATTTGATTTTCATTATAATTACTATAAATAATAGGAGGCAGAGATATTCTTATTTTACCTACAGTAAATCCAAGTACAGGGACGTCCTCAAATTTTACGCTAGGTCCTGGCAATCCCAAAGCCCATACTTTTCCTCTATCTTAGATATACTGTGGTAGTTGTGTTTGCACTTTGGGCAAGATATTTAACTTTATTATCTCTCTTTTATCCATAAGGTGGGAATATTAGTTCATAAAGTTATGGTGAGGATTAAACTGAATAATATGTATAAATTGCTTAGAATAGTATCTGGCACATAGCCAAACTACAATAAAAATAATACTGATAGCTATTATACCACATTATTTTCCCTTCCTTCTTTTAAAAGTTACCATAATAGCTGGGCATGGGGGCTCATGCCTGTAATCCCAGCACTTTGGGAGGCGGAAGCGGGCGGATCACCTGAGGCCGGGAGTTCAAGACCAGCCTGACCAACATGGAGAAACCCTGTCTCTACTAAAAATACAAAATTAGCTGGGTGTGGTGGCACATGCCTGTAATCCCAGGTACTTGGGAGGCTGAGGCAGGAAAATCACTTGAACTCGGGAGGCTGAGGTTGTGGTGAGCCAAGATCATGCCATTGCCCTCCAGCCTGGGCAACAAGAGCAAAACTCCGTCTCAAAAAAAAAAAAAAAAAAAGTCACCGTAATAAAATTAATCACTGAGATTTTCAGCCAACATTTGCTGTAGTGAAATTTCAGCATCAGAAAAGGTTATTTCTTGAGTTTATTTTTGTTGGATTAATTATTATTTTTTTTTTTTGAGATGGAGTTTTGCTCTTGTTGTCCTGGTTAGAGTGCCATGGTGCAATCTGGGCTCCCTGTAACCTCTGTCTCCCAGGTTTAAGCGATTCTCCTGCCTCAGCCTCCTGAGTAGCTGGGATTATAGGCATGCACTACCATGCCCAGCTAATTTTTTGTATTTTTAGTAGAGACGGGGTTTCTCCATATTGGTCAGGCTGGTCTCAAACTCCCGACCTCAGGTGATCTGCCCACCTCAGCCCCGACGAAGTGCTAGGATTACAGGCATGAGCCCCCTCACTCGGCCAGATTGTTTTAGTTACTGTTTTTTTTTTTTTTTTAACTCTGTTTCTACTTGTCTGAATTTTTATTTTTCTTAAAGAATGTACAGTAAAATAATTGCTTGAGAAAGCTATTGAAAGTGTTGTTTGTGTTTGTTTTAACATACTGGGAAAAAAATGGATGCCTTTTCTCTGGGATTAAAACGTGTATTACATATTAGTAAATCTAAACTCGGTATTGTGTATTTGATGGCCTTTTGGGGTTTTCTTAAGGATTAGAATAGCACAGCCATTTGGAACAATTATTGGCTTGTGTATGCATATAGAAGAAAGAATTTCACATCTATAGAATTTGTAAAAACCATTATATTAGCAGTAACTGTAGTAACTGAATTTTAGCAAACTTGTTGGACACCTTTGTATTTTGCTTGGCCTGGCTTTCAGTAAGTAGGTACTTACTTTAAAAAGATAAGTTTCTGAAACTGTCATAATATGTTTTTTCTCCCAATAGGGCATTCTTAGCAGGGTTACAGAGTCTGTTAAGAATATTGTGCCAGGGTGGCTACAAAGATACTTCAACAAGAATGAAGATGTATGCAGCTGTTCAACAGACACAAGCGAGGTTCCACGCTGGCCCGAAAATAAAGAGGACCATCTGATATATGCCGATGAGGAGAGCTCTAATATTACTGATGGGAGAATCACACCTGAGCCAGCAGTCAGTAATACAGAAGGTAAGTAAAATGTGGATATTTTGTCATGAATGATAGCTTTTCATGCCCTAATTTTGAATATATTACCTAGTTATGTTAAATCTAATCAGGCAGTACATAAACTGTGTGGGAGGAGGATGATAATCAGGTTCCAATTGGGTATCTTTTTTTTATCAGCGTTTTATTTATGTATTTATTTATTGAGATGGAATCTCGCTCTGTTGCCTAGGCTGCTATCTCGGCTCACTGCAAACTCCGCCTCCTAGGTTCTCACCATTCTTCTGCCTCAGCCTCCCAAGTAGCTGGAACTACAGACGCCTGCCACCGCGCCCGGCTAATTTTTTATATTTTTAGTAGAGATGGGGTTTCACCATGTTAGCCAGGATAGTCTCATCTTCTGACCCTGTGATCCGCCCACCTCAGCCTCCCAAAGTGCTGGGATTACAGGCATGAGCCACTGCGCCCAGCCCTTTTTTGTTTTGTTTTGTTTTGTTTTGTTTTGAGACAGAGTCTCACTCTGTCACCAGGCTGGAGTGCAGTGGCGCGATCTTGGATCTTGGCTCACTGCAACCTCTGCCTGCCAGGTTCAAGCGATTCTTCTTCCTCAGCCTCCCGAGTAGCTGGGATTACAGGCGTGTGCCCCTGTACCTGGCCAATTATTTGTATTTTTAGTAGAGATGGGGTTTCACCATGTTGGCCAGGCTGGTCTCGAAGTCCTGACTTCGGATAATCCACCCGACTCGGCCTCCCAAAGTGCTGGGATTACCAGCGTGAGACACAGTGCCAAGCCAATCCTATCCTTTAAAGCAGAAGTTTTAAATTTTGATGAAGCCCAACTTATCTCTCAGTGTATGTTTCTTTCAGTATAAATATTTTTTCTTTCACTACATGTTTTGAAATACATAATTACAAAACTTTTTGTAGTCCTATGTTAAAGTCTCAAATAACTAATTGATTTGGATATATGCCCTGTTAATTTTGGTGTGCTTAGCAACGTCTCCCTGCCTGATCTGTCCGTAGTAAAAAATAGTGATAATGAAATGGCCCTGAAAGAATGGTTTTTATTTTAGAGAAATGGCAAATCTAATTTTTCTTAGTAATGTTCAACTAGATGTATTCTTTGAATGTCCGCTTACTTTTATTAGAGTAACTAAAGTTTTAATATCTGTACTTTTCAAAATTGCTTTTAAATATATTACCAGCAGCCATCTTGAGGCTTTATCTGGTAGATCTCTAAGCTGACTGTCTCTGTTACTTTATTTTCTGGCCGGTGAAAGGGATTCTGGCTTTTCTTTTTCTGTTTTTTTCCCCCTCTGTTTCCTGGTTATGAGATTTGTTTCCTTTTGGTTAGAGAGTTCTAGTATATCCACAGTGACTATCTTTTCTAAGATGGTTATAGAAACGATCTGTTCTGGCCGGGTGCAGTGGCTCACACCTATAATCCCAGCACTTTGGGAGGCCGAGGCGGGTGGATCACCTGAGGTCGGGACTTTGAGACCAGCCTGATCAACATGGAGAAACCCCATCTCTACTGAAATACAAAATTAGCTGGGCATGGTGGCGCATGCCTGTAATCCCAGCTACTCGAGAGGCTGAGGCAGGAGAACTGCTTGAACCTGGGAGGCGGAGGTTGCGGTGAGCCGACATCGTGCCATTGCACTCCAGCCTGGGCAACGAGAGCGAAACTCCATCTCAAAAAAAAAAAAAAAAAGAGGCCGGGCGCGGTGGCTCAAGCCTGTAATCCCAGCACTTTGGGAGGCCGAGACGGGCGGATCACGAGGTCAGGAGATCGAGAGACGATCCCGGCTAACACGGTGAAACCCCGTCTCTACTAAAAAAATACAAAAAAATAGCCGGGCGAGGTGGCGGGCGCCTGTAGTCCCAGCTACTCGGGAGGCTGAGGCAGGAGAATGGCGTAAACCCGGGAGGCGGAGCTTGCAGTGAGCTGAGATCCGGCCACTGCACTCCAGCCTGGGTGACAGAGCAAGACTCCGTCTCAAAAAAAAAAAAAAAAAAAAAAAAAGAAACGATCTGTTCTATCCTAGTGAACATATTTGTAAGGATTAACTAACTTGAAGAATTTAGGGGTGAAAGACATGGAGTTTCTCATTCTCTGTACAGTTTGTGTGTATTTGTGTTTTCATGAAAGTAGCAGGTTGAATTTATGCCAAGGTCAACTCACACTGATATAAGGAAGATTTTCTGTTACAAGTATATTATACACATTTGTGCATAACTTCTAAACTTTATTATGGAAAATTTTTCAACCTAGAGAAATAAAGAGGATAGTACAATGACACCCCCCTCCCTGCCGATCTGCTGCCCCCAGCTCCCCATCACTGAGCTCCAACAATAATCAAGTCATGGCTGATCTTGTTTACTCTTCCCACATCTATTTCCCTACCTTCCTACCGCCAGCTCACCTGATATATTTAGAAGCAAATTGTGGGCAGCAATTTGTTACCTACTTCAAAAACTAAAAAAAAATTTTTTATTTTCTTTTTTTGAGCCAAGGTCTCACTCTGTTACACAGGCTGAAGTGCAGTGGCACAATGTCAGCTCACTGCAACCTCCACCTCCTGGCTCAAGTGATCCTCCCACCTCAGCCCCCCAAGTAGCTGGGACTACGGGTGTGGACCACCAGGCCTGGCTAATTTTTTTTTTTTTTTTTTTTTTTTTTTAGTAGAGATGGGGTTTCGCCATTTTGCCCAGACTGGACTCCTGAGCAGAAGCGATCTGCCTGCCTTGGCCTCCCAAAGTGCTTAGGATTACAGGTGTGAGCCACCGTGCCTGGCCTACTTCAAAAACTTGATAGCATTTTTCTGCCTCATGCTTGTCTTAGATCTGAATTCTGCTGTCTTAAACCTTGTAAGTCCCAGTCAGTTCTTGTTTTTTTTGTTTGTTTGTTTTTGTTTTGTTTTTTGAGGTGGAGTCTTGCTCTGTTGTCTAGGCTGGAGTGCAGTGGCGTGATCTCAGCTCACTGCAACCTCTGCCTCCCGGATTCAAGCATTTCTCCTGCTCAGCCTCCTGAGTAGCCAGGATTACAGGCACCTGCCACCACGCCCGGCTAATTTTTTGTACTTCTTGGTAGAGACAAGATTTCACCATGTTGGCCAGACATTTCTTACAGTCTGCCTTGACCTGTGTCTACTTATTAATACCGGTAGTCACATAAGAGTGACTTATGTGACTCATACATCTTATTAAACTCCCCAATAAGATGAATATAGATCTTACTAGATATTACAGAGAAATTGCAGTTCATATTTACTCTGTGAAGCATTACACTTAAATTTGACAGTGCATTCTCAAAACACTCAGTTATGTGTTGCTTAACTATGGGGATACATTCTGAGAAATACATTGTTAGGCAGTTTTGTCACTGCAAATATCATAGTGTATACTCACACTGACTAAGCCTACTCTTACCTAGGCTGTAGCCTATTCCTAGGTTACAAACCTGCACAGCCTGTTACTGTGTTGAATACTGTAGGCAATTATAATAGTGAATATTTGTGTATCTAAACATGTATAAGCATAGAAAAGGTACATATGATATAAAAGATAAAAAATGGTATGCTTGTTTAGGATACTTAATCCTAAATGAAGCTTACAGGACTGGAAGCTGCTCTGGGTGAGTCAGTGAGTGAGTATCAGTGAATCTGAAGGCCTAAAAACATTATTGTACAGTACTGTAAACTTTATATAAACACTGTTCACTTAGGTTATAATTTACTAAAAGATTTTTCTTCAACAATAAACCTTCGCCTACTGTAACTTATTTATAAATTTTTGAAATGTAAAAAACTTTTTTACTCTTGTTAAAACAGTTAGCTTAAAACATAGATTATATAGCTGAACAAAAATATTTTTAATGTCCTTATTCTCTAAGCTTTTTTCTATAGTACTGTTTTTTTCCTTAACTTTTAAAACTTTTGTTTACAATTAAGACATGCACACATTAACTTAGCCCTACGTAAAGTCAGTATCATCAATATCATGGCCTTCTGCCCTGACATCTTGTCCCAGTGGATACTCTTCAGAGGCAGTAACATGCATGGAGCTGTCATCTCCTATGATAACAATGCCTTCTTCTGGAATACTTCCAGAAGGACTTACCTGAGGCTGTTTACAGTTGACTTTTGTTTTTTTTAAAGACAAGGTCTCGATCTGTTACCCAGGAGTACAGTGGCGCAATCATGGCTCACTGCAACCTCAACCTTCCAGGCTCAAGCGATCCTCCCACCTCAGCCTCCCAAGTAGTTGGGACTATAAGCATGTGCCACCACACCCAGCTAATTAAAAAAATTTTTTTTGTAGAGACGAGGTCTAACTGTGTTGCTTAGGCTGGGCTTGAACTGGCCTCAAATGAGCCGCCTGCGTTGGCCTCTCAAAGTACTGGGATTACAGGTGTGAGCCACCACCTGGGACCCAGTTTTTTTTTTTTTTTTTTAAATGTAAGTGGAAGGATAGTATACTATAGTGATAAAAGGTATAGTAAATACATAAAACAGTTACATAGTCATTTATTATCATTACCAAGTATAGTATTATATAGAGTACATAAATGTATGTGCTCTAGTTTTATTTGACTGGCAACACTGGATTTATTTACTGCACAGCCTGTTACTGTGCTGAATACTGTAGGCAATTATAATAGTGAATATTTGTGTATCTAAACATGTATAAGCATAGAAAAAGTACATATGATATAAAAGATATCGGCATGCCTGCAGACTCCTGAGTAATATATTGCACTAAGGCCTTAGGATGACTATGATGTTACTAGGTGATACAGATTTTTCAGCTTCTTCATAATCTTATGGGACCACTGTTGCATATGTGTTCTGTAGTTGATTGTTTTTTATTTATTTCTTTTTTGAGACGGAGTCTTGCTCTGTTGCCCAGACTGGAGTGCAGTGGTGTGATCTTGGCTCACTGCAAGCTCCGCCTCCCGGGTTCATGCCATTCTCCTGCCTTAGCCTCCCGAGTAGCTTTGACTACAGGCGCCCATCACCATG